TTGCTGTGTGCGGTGGTGAAAGGGTGGATGTACAGGCCCCATCCCAACCAGAAGAAGCAGTGGTCTCCTCCGTGCTCCCTCATTCAGTAAGAGTGAAACCAAGTGAACCGAACACTGTGTTGCTACAGACTGCAAAGGTGTGGATTGAAGGCCCGTCAGGCAGAAGGATAGCTCGTTGCTTATTAGATGGAGGCAGCCAAAGAAGCTTCATACATGAAACGTTTGTGAAGAGCGTAAATTTACCAGTCATAAGGCAAGAGACATTGACACTACACACATTTGGGTCCTCCTTTCCCACAAGATCACAGCGCGGCATAGTGAAGGTTATGCTACAAAATATCTGGGATCCTAGCCAGAGTATTGTAATAGAAGCTGTGGAGACCCCACAAGTGTGCTCGGCAATAATGAAGGTTCCTGGTGAACAGATCCAGCATGAGCTTAAAAAGAGAGGACTACAACTGGCTGACTTCCCAGGATCCAGTGAGGAACCAGAGCTTGCTGTCCTCATAGGAGCTGACTACTATTGGCAGATCGTGACAGGAAGGGTGGAGAGACTTACAGAAACATTGGTGGCACTGGAGAGCACCTTCGGATGGTCTGTTCAGGGGCCGGTTTCTGCATCAAGTGTTACAGAGGCAGCCTGCATGTTCATTCCGTGTGAGGAAGAGAAACTGCTTTCCAAGCAACTGAAAGCATTCTGGGAAATAGAGTCTCTGGGTATTACAAATGAGACAACAAAGAACCCAGAAGATGATGAGGCTCTGCAGATGTTTGAGAGAACGACTATGTTTAAAGATGGACGATATCAGGTGGAGTTGCCATGGAAGCCAGAAAGGGTAGAGCTCTCAGACAACTACAGAGTTGCCAAAAAACGGCTGGAAGGTCTGAGTAAAAGATTTAAGAAGGATGTCACACTCTTCAGCAGGTATAATCAAGTGGTGGAGGACTACTTGGACCAGAACATTGCAGAGGAAGTGACACCAAACAGCAGCACAGACTCTGTAATGTATTATATGCCTCACCATGCAGTGCTGAGAGAGGACAAAGCAACTACAAAATTAAGAGTGGTCTTTGATGCATCGTCCCATGAAGAAGGCTGTCTGTCGCTGAATGACTGCTTATTTA